CCAACATCAAACTCATCCTCCCAGCATCACACGTCCTACATCCAGCTACCTCGGAAAAAACCCACCTATGACTGCATAAGACTTTGGGGGAACATCTGGATACATACTAGTCTTAGACGTAACTATTACCCTAACCAGAATCCTGACAGTAACCCTAACTACAGTTCTACACCTACAGAACACTTACCCAGACTTATCCCTAGCTGTATCTCTAGTACTAGTCCTAATAATAACCCTAAACCAAACCGTAATCATAGTTGAAGTGTGAGCCCTAATCCCAGCCCTAACCACCATTCTAACACTAACCCTAAAACATTACACAGCAGTATCCCTTACACTAAACATTTTGTGATCTTGTCATTATTTTCCTTCTGAATTAAAGACTCAGTTTAACACTGGTAATAGAAAAACCTGGTGCCAAGACCTTCTTTTACTTTTGTGTAGGCGAAAAATTAACTTCACTGATTTCGTAGGACATGTTCATTGAGTACTGATTGGAGGTCAATGGTGGTTTGAACTTGTTTCCCTACCGCTGCTGCTCCTCCGTGCCCTGTGTTGCATTGTTTCTACTGAGAATCCCACTGGAGTTTCACTGTGGCACTGAGGACAGGCTGTGCGTCGACCCACTCTGCAATGGATGGGAGCTCAGTGAAGCACACTTGTGCGTACGTCAAGGTGCGTCGCTGAGGGGTCGCATGGGGTACTGTGTGTCACGCCTGGACCCGTCCTCTCTGGAACCATTAACTTGCTGTGCTTCCAGCTGGCGTGAAACAAGCAGCTTTGCCCTTCTGCCTTGATGGATCTGCTCTCGAGCCGGCAGACACAGCCTGAGTCTCATGAAACTGAGGCAAACCACGCTCTCCTGCTTAGGTTGTGGGTGGCAGGACCAGCCCCGGCGACCTAGTCCGGAAAAGACGTGCCAGACGTGGAGTCCTTTGGGGGACTACGTGTGATCATGTCGTTCAGGTGCATGTGGAACAGTTTAAAGGGAAGGAATCGGAGAGGTTAGGAGATGTGTGCCGGATAAGCCCTAGAACGCCATGAGCAGAGTCTGATTGGAGCTCAGAAGACCAGATGCTGACACAACGCTCACAGGGAAGGCAAGGCTCGGGAGGTATCGCGGGGGGACTCTTGGGAACTGGGCTGAAGGCCGTGCCTGTTACATTCTGGCAAACAGACCTGGTCTGTATTTTGCCCAGGTCCTGAGACTTTCATGTCCTGCGCACCTTCCCAGCCCTGAGACACAACTCCTGACAACCACAACAGAGAGGAGAGGTTCCCTGGGGTCACAGAGCTAGTCGGGGGTGACTGGCTCTAAGGCAGAAACGGTGGCAGGGGCCAGAGACAAGGCAAAGGTGCCCAGCGCCCGGCAGCCAGGGACCCGCTTCCAGCCAAGCCTCCCCTCACAGCAGAGACTCCACTGGGCTCATCGGGGCCTGACTCCTCCGCTGAGGACAGTGGCCCTGCCTTCTGGTCAACTTCCAAACACGTGAGACTCTGGAGGGCAGCTTTAGATTAAACTGTACCATTCCACCCTTGGTCCCCCAAAGACTCGTGTCTGTCTCATACAAAATGAATCCAAAATGGAATGAGTTACGTCTTAGAGTCAAGTTGATAAAATCCTACTTTCAGGGTGGCTGAACCTTCCCAGGGAGCCTTCTGACCAAAAGAAGTACCAGCGATTCCTACCACTAGGGGGCAGGGCACTAAGGATAAGCCCTGCCGCGGGTCTCAATCTCCTGGGACCAACAGGACACAAGTGGACCAGAACAGGAAACAGGCAAGACTGAGAGAGAGCTGGGTCCTGGGCTGATCTCAGCTGCTCCGGCAGCAAAGACAAAAGCACCAAGGGCAGCCATTGCTGATTGGTGACAAGCGCGGGAAGGAGAGGAGGAGGACGCCTGGTGACGCGGTATCCCAGCAGGACCCGGAAAGGCAGGCAGCAGGGGCTCTCTGCTGGGAGAACTAGTGGTTAATGCAGAGGGAGACAGTTCAGTCCGAGTTAAGTCCACCTTGACCCGGCAGGGCCTGCTGCTTCCCGCACTGGGACTTCAGTCTCCGTAGCAGACACTGGCTTGGGATCGATCTGCACCGCCCCCTCTGCTCTCTGACATCCCCATTTGAGTTGCCCCTTTCCAGATCCTTTCCTCTCCCTGCAATAAAACCGCACACCCGTTCTTTGATCTCTTGGGACATTCGGGATGACCCCTCCCCATCTTGGATGATGTCCTGCGTTTAGGGTTAGTTCAGCATATGATGTGAATTATCTGAAGTGACCCCGTAAAGCCCCTGCACGCGGTGGATGTCCGGTGAATATTTCTTCCTGTTACCGCTCTCTCAGCTCAGGGGTCTGGCTCTTACCTCCCTGCCATCAGGTCCACAGGCTCCGGGGCCTCCGTGTAACCCTGTCCCTCCTTGCATTCCCACATGCTCAGGGCTGCCTCTTACTTCATGTTTTTCCTGAGCGCCCTGTCTCCCCAGACTTCTCCACTTCCTCCTCCTCAGACCTCGGTGGCCCACAGACTTTCGTAACTCTCTCAGCTCCCCAGAACATTAATAGCACCGGGCAGGTGTGTCTGACTCCTTTCATGCTTCCTGTGGTTGGAGCGTCCTGTGTGGTAGCGGAGAATGGCTGTGCATTGAAAACACCGTTCTACTTCTGGAGACTAAAGAAGCACATGGCTCCTCACCAGCCTGGAAAGTCTTGGCTGACTTTTGGCCTCAGTTCCATCCACTGCCTGCTCCCTTCTCCGTGGGCTCTCTTCCCACCCGTCATACAAGTCCTGCTTCTAACCAAGCCATTCCCAAAGGAACAGTCCACTCAGCGGAGCCACAGGGACGGGGCAGGGGTGGTGCCCGGGAGACCTGGCGTAGGTCCTGGAGTCCTCCAGGACTGGCGGTGAACCAGATCTGGTCTCCATCGGGAAAGCTTCTGACCCTGAGACTCAGGAACTGCATGTGTCCTCCACTTCAGGTGGAAAAAGGGGACCGAGCCGGTGTCGAGTGTCCTCTCATCGAGGCCACCAAGGAGCAGTTTGAGGTAAGGGTCACAGACTGAACTCCAGGGTCTCCTGGAGGCCACAGAGCAGGTGGGACAGCGCTGGGATGTTGGGCTCACTTCTGACATTGCTTCCATGATGCAGAACTGCTCTTGATTTGCTGTGTGTCATTTTCAGATTGTTCAATCCCTCCAGGACTCGGGTATGAGAAAGGATGGATAAATCACAGGAATGAGGCCTCACAGTTCTTAGGCCTGGGGCAGGAGTACCGCACACGTGCCAGGCGAGGCAAATGCTTTGCCACTGAGCTACATACACGGCCCCAGTTCAGTGCAATTCATTCCTGGAAGGCAAAGTGTATGACACAAAGTGAGCGAAAGTTGAGCAACGGCCCATGTTTGTGATTCTTGTCATTCAAAGCCAGTGCAACTAACAAATGTTTGCTGGACCCTCACCCCTTCCTCTTTTGGATTGACTTGGGGTGGGGAGGGTACCGGGAATCGAACTCAGGGACTTGAGCTTGCGAGGCAAGCACAGCACCACTGAGCTAAATCCCCAGCCATAACCCTTGTTCTTTTTAATCTATAAAGCTGAACCCCTCCAGTGCCAGTCAGGGCCCTGATTCTGCACAGTGAAAATCCCCGACTCCTGGTGGCCATTCTCACCTCACTTTGAATTAACTGTTGGCTCCCCTGTGCTGTCCTCAGTTCCCCCTCTAGGTTGCCTCCTAGCCTCACCTGGCCTAAGTGTGGAGACCCTTTGACCCGGCCGCAGGGTGGTGGCCAGGCCTGCATGCAGGGCAGGCTTTGGTTGTGCTGCCAGGGTGGCCTCAGGGAACCTCGGGAGAGGAGAAGGGGATCTTGCCAAGGGCCAGGAAGGGGGGCTGACACCAGGGCTGAGCAGAGGGGACCAATTTCCTCCCATGGGTGTCCAGGTCGTGAGGGAGAACCTGGAGCAGAGGCCACGTAGGTGGCGGTGAGGCTGAGTCCGCTGCACTGTGGCTGGGAGCTGGGGTTCTCGTCCCCCAGCCCAGGTGGCAAGAAGGGGCCAGCAGGGGCTCAGAGGAAGCTGCCGGCTGCAGTGCCCCAGGAGCCCGTCTGCTCCTGACCCTGCCTGGTATGGAGATCGGGTGGCGGGTGTCAGGGGAGCTGAGAACACGTTTCCAGCCAAAGGAAGCCGGGACACCTGCACTGGACGTGCAGGCCAAACCCTCAGCCTTGGCTGCGCCCACAGCTTCTTCTTTAGGCCACTGACAGGTGAAGAGATTCTTAGAGAACAGAATGGAAATTTGACTCTTTGATTGGGGCAGGGAGACAGGAAAACCCACAGACTCGGGAGGGGCTAGGCCGGTGGGTCCATCACCTTTCTGTCGCCCTGACAACATACCTGAGAAAGGGGTGTTTGGGCCCCGGGTTTCAGAGGCCTCAGTCTGTGGTCGCTGGCTCCGTGCCTCTGGGTCCGGGTGAGGGGAACATCATGGTGGGGGCATGTGGTGGAGCAACTCGGCTCAGCTCATAGAGGACAGGGGTGGGGGAGAACTAGACGGCTCCAGGGTGCCAACAATACGCCCTTCAGAGGCCCCCGTGACCTCTGCCTCCCCTCGTCCCCACCCCCTGAAGGTTCATCACCTCCCGATGGTGCGACCCGTGGGGACCAAGGCTTCAGCCCAGGACGCTTTGGGGTCTGTCCTCATCCACAGGCCCACACCAGGCCTGCCAGCGGGGAGGGCACCGCCAGGGGCAGAGCTGGAGTCCAGGAGCAGGTGCAGGCGGGGTCGGGTGGGGGAGGCCTGTGTGGGAAGGACGAGCCGGCTCCGGGCTCCAGTCAGGCGCTTGCACACTTACCCTGCAGTTCCACGTCACGGGCACGTTGCGTGTGCTGGGAGGCGGGAGAGCTGAGTGTTTGTGTATCCTGGTCTGGCTGGTGGTGACTGGCGGCCCCGCCCCCAGGGTTAGCATATAAGCCTTAAGCTCTTCCTCCTTTCTTGCCTCTGCAGTTCAGAACTGCAGACAGCTGTGATGGGCCCCCGCCCAGGAGCCCCCTGTCTCTGCTGGGCCTCATGGCTCCTCGGGGCCATCGCTTTCCTCAGTGAGTAGCCGGGATCTCGGGAAGGGAGGAGGCCCTGGGACGACTGGAGTCCTGCAGTCCTGGAGGCTGTTGGCCTCCTAAGGCTTTGGGGACAAAAAGGGAAAGTCCCTGTGCTAAGGTGGAGACCGCGGCATGGTAGCTGAATCCCGGATGAGTGGCGAGGGAACTGGCTTTTGGTGTGGAAGAGGCTAGGGATCCTGACTTAGGCGGCTTTGTGTGCTCAGAGGGATCTTTCCCAGGTGCAGCTGCCTGTGTTCGTGAGCAGGGAGAGGCAGGGGCGGCCTGGGGACAGCGATGGAGACCACGACAGGGGCCTGTCTGAGGGACACAGTGGGGAGGACGCGTTGTCCCGGCCCAGGACGGGGCGGGTCCTCAGGCCGCGCTGCTGCCCTGTGAACACAGCCGAACCGGCACCCTGGGTCTGAGCTGAGGAAGCTGCTCCTGTCTGGGCTTCTGGAGCTCCAGTGAGGGCGGCGTGGCCGTCCTGGATCCGCGTGGGGCTCAGGGGCATCGTCCCTCCATCTCGGAGCTGATGGAACACGTGACCGTGCATAGGGCGGGTGAGAACAGGGGGAAGCAGCCTGTGACCCCCTGGGGGCCCCTTCCCTGGTCCTGCACGGCTGCCCTGGGCCGGAGACTGGGCCGGGACCTCCTTCTCATGGCTGTGTGCGCCCCAGTCCTGGAGAAGCTGAGCGGGTCCCCGCGAACTCGGACCAAATATGCAGACCGAAGAGTGCTGTCCCGGTCTTCAGAGAGAAGCGTGGCTGTGTCTGCAGGCATCGGTGCCGACGGAGTTCCAGTGTTTCCTTCCAACAGAAGAGTTACCTCTGGGATTCTGGAGCCAGGGCGGTCGCCATGGCTTTATCTCATCTCCGTGGACAATTTTCGTGCCGGTTCCTGTGGACGCTGATATTTCACAAATGTCCTCCTGGTTCTTTTCACGTAGGCAGTGTTCCCTCAAGGGACTTAGTCACTTCAGAAACAGGGAAGAGAAGGTCTCATAGTCAGGTCCACAGCAGCAGGGTCTTTAAAGGAACCCTCCTTTCTGATATCTTTGGGCCACAGGCCATGGCAACCGGGAATGCCGTGCGTCTCGTTTTGGAAAGAGACAACTCAGTTCCGTAACGCACGTGCACAGTGTATCACCTTGCATTTTCATTGTGCTCGGTCATTGCTTTGATTCCGAGGCTGACAAACTGCTGACAAGTCTGTTCCACTCTTACCTGCCGTTGGCAGGACACGCGATGTTGGACTGCCTTTGTGTCACTAGCCTGCTAATGTTTAACTGCCCAGCACTTCTCTGCCCTGGGAAGTGGGCGGTCTGGACAGGCTGGTTCTTTAACCCTCAGGCAGTGGACGTCTCTGTTCTGCGCAGCCACTCCAAGCACTTGTTTCACCCTCCAGAGGGGGCACGGTAGGAGGACGAGACTCCAGCAGCTGCTGGAAGGCAGTGCAGGGAGGCTGAACTCCGGAGCAGGGAGAAGTTCAGAGAGCTGAGCGGCAGGGTCCTGGGCTCCGTGTCAGCTCTGCTTGTGAGGCCCAGGTGGGTCCCCTGTGCTGCAGACCCCCCTCCTCTGTAACAGCAAAGGCCTGCACCGATTATCTCCTAGGCCCTTCCTGTAAGCAGCAGAGCAAAGAAAACTTCATTTCTAAAAGTTTGAAGCCATTTTTAGTAGGATATTTTTGCAGTCTTCCTGGAGAAGACGTGGGTTGTCCCCCAATGGAGGGAAAGGATTCTCCTCTTCGGCCCTCTTCACCTGTGCTCCTGGGGGTTCTCGGGCTTCCCGACCTCAGAATCCCACCCAGGGATATCAGGTCTCTTCCCACAGCCTCTGCAAACTTGGTCCACAAAGCAGGCTCAGAAGGATGCACAGTTGCCCCAGTTAGAAGTAGCTGAGAAAAGCCTGAGCCAGGCCTTTGCCGGTCCCGTTGGCTCAGGGACAGAAGACGCTGGCTGTTTTCTGGGTGACCCTGTCACAGGATTGGCGGGAGGGCAGCAAACCTGTTCTGACCAGAATGCTGCCTGGAATTCCCAAGGAAGGAGCCCCTAGGCATGGGAGATACTGTCTCTCAGTGAGTCCCACCGCTTCCTTCCCCACTGGAAAAGAGGGTCGTTTCTCTGAGCCCTGCACTGAAGTGTTCGCTTATAGTTACAGCCTGTGTTGGCAGTGACACCGCCCGGCTTCCTGCCTGGGACACAGAGACAACGCTATTGCACTGGTGTTGGCAGGGAGAGCTTTCTTGTGGGTGGACAGACCAGGAGTCTGAAGTCAGGAACGGAGCTGCTGCCCCATAGGATGGGTGGGCGGGGAAGCATTTGAGGGACTGGGGGGAGCAGGAGAGGGCTGAGGGCTGTCAGGGGGAGGCACAGTGGCATAGTCTGCGTCACCCACACTGGGCCATGTGGAAGCTGTGGACTCGTTGTCATCTGAGTCTCCGGTCTCTAAACTACTCAGTCTCTCTTGCAATTGTGAACCACACGCCAGCTCCTAGTCCGAGTCTCGGCCATGGGTCCTGCCTCTTACTGACTTCTGGTTTCCTTCTCTCAAGGTCTGTGGTGGCTTCCTGAAAAACAGCCTCACATGAGGTTTTAGGAATGAACGAGTTCTGGTTTTATTGCTGGTTTCTGTGGGAAACTCCACATTGAGTGTGTGATAAACTCTGATGGAAGCTGTTACCTGCTACTTTTACCATGTTCCCCTCGTTATGCATCAAGGGAACCACAAAGTGCTAGAAAGTTGTGAAGAGAGAATCAAGGGGCCCCTGCTCAGGCCGGCAGGCACACAGCAAAGCCTTACAGAGAGGCCCTTTCTTCCATGCCCCGCAGCCTGCAGACTTTCAGGCACTCGGTAACACGGGGGTTGATGGTTGCTGTGTGGGCACAGATCGGTGAATTTCCTTTTAAACCCAAGGTGTCGGTCGGTGAGCACGGAATCCAGGGCTGGACCCTGAAACCAGAGGCACCATCAACCTGATCCACAGGATTTTTGACTCCCTGGGTCCCATCTCTGTGTCCAGGACGGGGCCCCAAGAAGGGCAGGTGGTGGTGAGGAAACCACACCAGCCTGGGAACTGGGAAGGTCTGGCTCTGACACAGGTGGGGTTGGTCCAGGTACCCTCAAGATGGTGCCCACAGTGGCTGGTATCAAGGGAGCAATTGTGCATACTGGGCTGTTCTTAGACCTGAAGAACAGCTCACTGCAGTGCGCACTATTTATGATGAAGAGCCCTTTAGAGATCGAGTGCCCAGACTGCCACCCCAGCCCACTGAATTATAGCAAAGTGCCAGCACTGCCCCTGTGTGCGCTGTTACCCGGTGCTCGGCTGTTGGGGTGATGCTGGGCCGGCCTGGCTCGGGTGTGACAGAGTGGGCTCGTTCTTGTTGCAGTGGGTATTACCCAAATGAGGAAAGATACTGAGCACTAGCGAGGATATGGAAAAACGGAACACTGTGCGCTCTGGGTGTGGATGTATGTTAGCATGGCTTTTTGTTGTTGTGCTGTTTTGAGACAGGGTCTTGCTATGTACTTTAAGGGGGCCTTGAACTCACAGTGTAGCTCAGGCTTGACTTGAACTCAAGATGATCCTCCTGCTTCAGCCTCCCGAGTGCTGGGATTATAACTCTTGCCCAGCTGGCACAGGCATTTGGACAAAGTACAAAGAGTCCCCAGAAGCTAAAAATGGACTTGCCCCATGACTCAGCTGCCTCACTCCTGCCCTGTGCACAGAGGAGCTGAGATGGGGTTGTGTAAGTGGGGTCTGTGGCACTGTCCACCCTAGCAGGGCAGGGAAGTAGCCAAGAGTCCCTCAGAGGACGGGGACGAGCCCTGCTCTAGAAGGGACCCCCGGCATGGGGAAGGTCTCACCGACCGGGGTGCTCACACCTGGGGGCGTGGGCACGGGCGGGAAGGAGATTGTCTTCGAGGACAAGGCGGCTCTGTGGCGCTCTCCCCTGGAGTGTCGGGCCCTGACCTGGTCCCCGGGAGAACAGGGGGTTCCCGGGACCTCTGGGCTGTGCCCCATGGACAAGGCAGGGCTAAGCGGAGGCAGGGCCCGGGTCTCTGTGCCCACTGCTCAGGACCTGCTGGGCCCAGGTACCAGGAGACTGGCGTGAGTCCTGGTGCCTCCAGGCTGTGCTGTCTTGGTGGCTGGAGCTCCTGCTCACCAAATGGCCCATTTCTTCCTCTACGTTTTATCTCCTCCGGAAACATTAGAAATTTATTGTTATTTTTAAGGAGCATTGGCTTCACATGGCAGAAGTTTTTGAGTAACTTTTCGAGAGCACACTTGCCCTCCCGTGCCCAAACTTGGTCAAGAGTGTGTTGGGTAAGGCACTTATGGAGTACAGTAACTGAGACGTGGTCTCTCCAGTTCTAAGTGACAGAGAGTTGTAACTGTAATTAGATCACGCCTAGCCCACCTTAACTGTGTACACCCTAGTCACAGGGGAGACAAAAATACGTGTTATCGTCTTAGTCGTGTACCTGGAGGAACCGACTGTCCCATAACTTACCGCATTAAAGCAAATCCTACACTGTCACACTTTTGGGCTGGGGATGGTCAATGCCCACGTGTGGCTGCACAGCTGGGCCTTCGGGGTCCAGTCCCACAGACTGATGGGAGGGTGGAGGAGGAAGCAGCAGGTCCGGGCACCACAGTTGGACCGTGGACAGGAGGGGACCCCGTGGCTGGCTGGCTCTCGGAGGCTGCCTCAGCCCCTCCCCACGGGGCCTCTGCACAGGGCAGCTCACGACAGGGCAGCCGAGTCCATCAGAGGCAGCAGGAGGCAGGGAAGGACGGGAGCCAGTGTGAACCCAGAGCTGTCTGTCCTCTGTGGATGCAGCCGGTGACACCCCGCCATTCTTGTGGTTTTCTGCACCCCAGAAGCCAGTCTCTGGGTGCAGTGCACACCGTAGGCTGGGGCCTGGACACGGGGGGCACAGGAGGAGGGCTCCTGGGAGCTGCTTCAGAAGCTGCCTCCTACAGTCGGACACCTACCCTATGCCCAGTGTTGGGCCCGATGCTTTGGATCCATGGCTCGTCCAGTTCACACCGCCATTTCGAGGCAGGAAAACCCCTGAGGCCATCGGGTCAGTGCGTCCCTCACCCTCCGTGTCCCATTGCGCGGATCCGGCTCAGTCCCAGAATTGCTTCCATGTGCTGTACGGGGCCATGTGAAAATCAAGGCGTGCACTGGGTGGACAGGTGGAAGAGAACAGCTGTTTCTCTCCTTGCCTCTCGGGGAGGAAATGCTCACGTCTCCCCTTTCAATTTCTCAGGTGTGTGGAGTTGTTCGGCCCAGGGCTCTGGAGGGCACCGTGCTGGGAATGAAGACTCTGCAGTCCCTGTTCTTGTGAAGGGGATCCGAGGAGGTTCTGTCTGTTTCCATGTGTCCCAGTGGCCAGGACAAGATCTAGCAGCCACAGTGGAGGAGATCATCTGGTCCTTTTCCTCTGAATCAGAACAAAAAATGATGCTGAGAGTCCACAGTGGGACAGATGCTCCACTGTGGTTCAGTGTACAGGACAAGTACAAAGGAAGGGTCCAAATGCCCAACGTGACCTCCCTGGAGATTAGGAACCTGACCCCACAGGACAGTGGGCGGTACATGGCATACGTTCTGTCAACTAGCACAGACTTTGTTTACCAGGTTTTCCACCTCAAGGTCTACGGTAAGTGACACCTCCTCAGCCTAACCCGAACCCAGTGGCCTCCCTCTAATTGGAACCTAAGGCTCTCATAGACCAAAATTTGCAGGAATCTATTCAGATTGCAGCCGCTGATATGTAATTTCTCTTCTAAGTGTGGTGTTTTTAACACAAAAACCTAAATTGAGATTTGTACGGGAGAGAAGATCCCTCCAGTGCTTTGGGGGAAGAAATTGGGCATTTGCCGATATTTGCAATACATTAGTTCTTCATAGGTCTGACTTTTTGCTTAATTTCAAATCAATCTCTACTGCTGCTGTAATAAATTAACACACACTATTGGCATCAGCGCCACAAATGCAGTTCCTTACTGTGCTGCAGCGGCCCCAGACACGGTTCTCCTGGGCTGAAGTCATGATGTGAGCAGGGCTGCGCTCCCTTCTGCGGGCTCCAGAGGAAAGCAGCCCACTCTCTCCGCTGTCCACTGCTCCATGGTGACCCGCGGTCCTCTGCTTGGTCCCCTTCTGTCCCAGACCCTTTCCCCTTCCAGAAGGGACCCCGTGTGTGGGAGATCATGGTCCCTGGAAGGGGATGGACTATCCTTTTCTCATGGAGAAATTGTCACACTTGCTTACCTAGGGAAATCAGCTGAGGCTCAGGTCAGTGGCTACCGTCACTTGCTCAGCATTTAGCTTGAGGCAAATGTGTTTTGTTTGTAAAGTGCTCCTCCCTCACGGGGCATTCTGGGCCTCAGTGAGATGGGGTTCAGGGGAGACACAGGTCACGTGTTCCACACATGTGAGGCTGTCCTTTGTGCTCACTTCCCAGAGCCAGTGTCCCCTCCGCAGATCGTGGCCGAGGCCCTGTCCGTCACAGCAGGCTGGTGCAATGTCACCCTGGAGTGCAGGCCCACAGGGCCCACAGAGGACCTGAATGTGACCTGGGAGAGCAAGGGCCTCCCCAGGGAGCTGGAGCAGACGTGGACACCAGGACCGGCCCCCAACCCCTGGACCCAGGCCGTGAGCCTGCCCCTGAGCCAGGCCAGTGGGAGCCTCACCTGTGTGGTCAGCAACCCCGTGGACCAGAACAGAGCCACCTCAGACCTGCGCGACATCTGTCCACCAGGTGAGCGCCCCCTGCTGGAGGGGAGGGCTTCCTGGAGCTCAGGGAGCCCTGCAGTCTGGGCCTCCTGACTTTCTTCCCTGCAGGCTTCAGTGGCTCCTCACCTGCACCCGGTCACCCCAGGCAGAGGTCTGGAGTCGCATCCCACTGCCGTCTGCCTGTAAATGTCCCTCACATCCCTGCCCTTCCCCGCTGGTGCAGGCAGCGGTGCCTCTCCCGGCTCATCGGTCCCTCACTGTAGGGACAGAGTGGGCTGTGGAAAAGGAGGTCAGAGTGGGGCGTGTGCCGGGCTCATCTCCGGTTCTGACCCCTGTTCCTTCCTGTAGGACGCAGGGCTCACAAGTTCTCCGCCCACGTTGTCCACGCACGGGCCCAGGCCACACAGAGCTGCTGCTGTAGCCTGTGACACTGCGCTGCCCCTGAGAGCCTGTGAGGTGTCCTCTTCTAGGCCGCCCAGGCCACTCAGCATTGGTCAGTGTGCACCGCAGTCCTCCGTCAGCTGCCATGCCTCTAGGGCGGGGGATGCAGGTCTGTTCTCTCTTTGGCGTCTCGGCCAGGTACAGCAGGTGTCACAGTTGCAGCAGACGTTCTAGTGAGTGCCTGGATGGCCTGGGAGCTGGGAGCCGTCCTCTCCTCTTTACCTTCCTCCAGGGGCGGTGCAGGCATCTGTCCCGTCAGTGTCAGTTACAATCCCTGTTCTCAGATAAAGTTCCCTTGAGCGTGACCCCTCTCCCTCTGGGCCAGCGCTCGCCTCCCTGTGATCCTGCTCCCTGCTCCCCTGCAGCTCCTCCCTGCCCGTCCCTGCCCCCTCCTACCTGTCAACCTCCCGCTCTCCCCTCAGGACTCAGTTTACCCTTACCGTCTCCAGCAAGCTTTCCCTGAAGGCCTGGCGCAGGGTTAAACTTCGGTCGCGGTGCGGTCCCTCTGTGTGGCCTCTGGTATTTTCTTTCTTCCCTCCCGGAGCCGAGTTTCTGCAGGGCGCCGACCCTGGCTTGCTCATTTCAGCGTCCGGTGTCATGCAGGAGCTGGGGAACTGGGCGAATGCTTACTCTGCGCGCTCCTTCCTTCCTGCCTCTGCATCCGGCCCTCTCTTCCCCGCCTTCCCTCTCAGCCTGGCGCCGGTGTCTCACTTCTCTCCGCCTTAACCGACTCTCCCTCTCCCGTTGACGGGGAAACAGGTGCGTCTGGACGGTCCACAGCTGGCCTCACGGGAGGCTTACTAGGGGGCTTCGTGGCTGTGCTTCTGCTCCTTGGAGCCGGACTGTGTCTGTGGAAGATCCAGGAGAAGAGGAAGAAGATGGTGGTGGGAAAAGGCAGGTTGCGCTTCCCTCCTTGGCTCTGAGACCTCCCCGCTCACCCTGTGGGCCCCGGCCTCCCTTTGTCCAGCACTTTGCTGACAGGAAGTGGGTCCTGCAGAGGTGAGAGCGGCTGTAACCATGATGGCCTTGGGTTTGTGGTGGGGGGAGCATTACTGGGTTCCCAGTACACAAAATCAATCTCCATTCTGCCAATGACTCTGGTGCAGGATTGCCTCAGGACCATGGGGTCTGCAACGATGATGTATTGTATGCAGATATTATAACACAGAATCCTCATGAAGAAAGGATTGAGGTGAGACCTGGGAGTGGTGGCCAGCCTGGCTACTCACAAGTCACCCACTGCCCAGCCCTATGCTTCCTAAACTCAGACATGGGTTATTTCTGTCCTGCCCCACTTTACCTTTTTGTAATAACAGTGTGAACTAAGCTCATTTATAATTGACTAGTGTAGAGCTTGGTTCCTGGGGAGGATTCAGAAACATTCCTGTGAATGGGCACTGATGGTGTGCAGGTCCCTCTGGGGCCACCGTACCCACCCCCAGCTTCTCCAGAGCCCCTGTCTTGTATTCCCAGAGTATTGGTGAACAACATCCAGAAGCACAGGGGGCGCTCAGTAGCGTCTACAGTAAGCTTGTTCTCCCAGGCCAGCCTACGAAGATGAATTAATTGGAGGAAACTGGTGAACCAAACACTCCTCGGACATTCTCACCTCTGAGCCTGACACCCACAGTCGCCTACTTCCGCCGGCTTTGGGTCAGCTCCAGGTGCCCTGGTCTGTGTCCCCTGACCCGGTGGTCGTCCCTCCCTGAGCACAGTTGGTCCTGTGACTTCTGCCCACAGCTCCCACTGTCCTTGCACACTCAGGTTCCTGGCACCTGACAGCCTGGGTGCTTCCTCAGTCCTGATGAGGTCCCTGATCACCTGCTCCTGCAGCGCTCCCAGGAGAGCTCTGCCCGACCCTGCAGGGGAAATCTCACCTCCACTGCTTGGTCACAAGCCTGTCTTTGGGAACAGGGGCCAGGCATGGGACCTACGAAGGGGTGTTGACTGTGCCCCAGAGGACAGAGCTCGGATGGGGTCTGGATTGCATGTGGATGGGGCGCCCAGGTTGGTGGGAGCCCCAGCTTCCTCTCACAGGCTCTTATAGGCTGTGTGTGTTCGGGGAGTCTCGATGGCCCCGCCCCCTTCTCTCCTTTCCTGTCCCCCCATGTCTTGGTCCCGTTTTCATCTGTAAAAGATCTATCTCTCCCTTTCCTATTATCTATCTTTGATTTTGTTCTTTGTGTATATTTTGGGTTTCTAATATAAGAAATGTTATGGTATATTTAAACTTGTGGTTTTTGTTTATTTAATCGAGAAGCAAAAATCCCAGTTTTGCAAATAGTGGAATTTGGTCCAGAGGTTTAATGCCTTCAGCGTTCTCCAGAGTGTGATTGGTTTGGCACCGCTCTAAGCCCAGTGGTCTGAATAAGACAGAAGGGGCAGAAAGACGGTGTTACAGGCCCTCTTGCTGCCTTTGCTACCTGGTGCCTGCCGTGTTGTGTCTCGTCTGGGATGTCTGTTTGCCATTCCTGTCTTGGTGCCAGCTGACTGTGGCCTGAACCTCTGTGAACTGTGAGCCACGTAAACCTCTTCCCTTTAACTTTGGGTGACGGGTGTGCTGTCTCAGCGACAAGTGAAAAGTATCTAACAGAGATATTTGGTGCCAGAGAAGTGGAGTTGTTGCTGTGGCATCACCTGGCCATGTGGCTCAAGAGCCTTTGGAGCTGGCTCGTGGGAAGGGGGAGATGAGGAAAGATTTGGAGACGTCAGCTGAAAAGCAGGGCTGGAAGGCGTCAGGCTGCTCTCTATGGGAGATCTGCTCAGAGCTCAGAAGGGCAGAAGGTCGGTAACGACCCAGCTCAGGAGGTTCCTACGGGGAAGAAGACTGTGTTGACTGCTGGACTCCCGAGGATGTGTGCTATGCCTTGGCAGAAAGCTTGTCTGTGGTTTGTTTATGTGCAAAGACATTTCCTGAGACTGAGATTTAGGGGTGGTGGACTAATCTTGCAGAGGAAATTTCAAGGCAGTTAAATACTGAGGCAGCAGTATGGCTCTTGTTGGGGGCTTTTAGCCAGATCAAGAACAAAGAGAATCAAGAGCAAAGAGCCCAGCAGAATGATTTAAAATGTTTTGAGTTTTGCCAAAAAGGAAGCTTCAGTGAAGCTATGGGCTTCAAAATAGAGCAGAGGAGATCTTGCTTGCTGGGAAGGACCAGGAGAATAGAAAAATGGCCTGAGTGGATCACTGGAAGTCTCAGAGTTGTAAAGGTGAAAGACTTTGCTTCGAGAAGAAAGCCCCAGAGCACCATGTTCCAGAATAGCAGGGGCTTAGGGAAGCTGTTCCTCTGTTTGATTCATAGGCACTGGCCCCGTACAGCCAAGAGAGAAGGAAGCCTGGCTCCAGGTCAAGCTGGCAGCCGACCTTGGTATCATCCACAAGGTTTTAGGCGCATGCAGAATGGAAGAGTTGCGGGCTTGCGAAGGTTTCCAACCAGATTCAAAAGAAGGCCTGGGAGGCCAGGCAGGGTCCCCCTGAGAGGGCAGAGTGTGAGGGTGTGAGTGTGAAGCTAAAGGTACAGTGGAGACCTCGGAAGTCTGAAGATGTCAGGAGTGTGGAACATCTGAGGAAAACTGCAAGGAGGGAGCAGAGCAGGCCCCGGAGAGAAGCCATCAGAGCTACAACACCCACAGTGCTGCAGGGGCAGAGCCAGCCGTGGCCTTTGGAGCTCACAGCTTGCCACAGGCTGCGTCAGATGCTGCACATGGAACAACAGCACTGAATGTTTGCCCTGCTGGATTTTGGGCTTGCCTTGGTCACATTCTTCTGTATCCCCATTTGTAACTTTGGGAATGGAAATGTTTATTTTGTGCCATTTTATGTTGGAAGTGTTTAACTTTCTTGTCATTTGTACAGGGACTTGCAGCTAAGAGTTTGCCTTAAATCTCAGAGGAGACTTTGGACTTGGACTTTTCAGCAATGCTGAAACCTCCTAGGACTTTGGCAACTCTTAGAGGCAGACTAAGTGCCTTTTGCATAAAGGGATACACACTTGTCTTTTGAGGGGGCAGGGGCGGAATGCCATGGCTTGTGTTTAGATGTCCCCCTCATGCCTTTTCAGAGGTAGCTGAATCTGGGACATGTGATGCTGGGATGAAGGTGTGTGATTCCTAAACCACTGCTTGTGAGTGATGGGTTCAGCACTGCCCTAATCCTGGTAGTCTGAATAAGACAAAAGGGGCAGAGAGACGCTGTTTCAGAGCGTCCTTGTGCCTGCCGTGTTGTGTCTCTCTATGCACCAACCCTGTCTTGGAGCCAGGTGACTGTGGACTGAACCTATGAATCTTGAGCCAAATAAATGTTTTCCCCTTTAACTTTGGTGTCAAGTATTTTGTCTCAGCAATGACAGAAAAGTAACTAATACATCTGGGTTCTTAAAAAGTGGAAGATGAAAAGGCAGAAAAGTGCATAAGAGAGACAGGATGTGAAAGGGACTTCACTCACCACTGTCAGCCATGAAGTTGGAATAAGGCAAGCACAGGTCATGGAAATGCCGTGTTCGTACATAGAAGACCCTCAGGTTACAGCCTGCAGGGAAATAAGAACCCGTGTTTCTAATGGCAAACAACAGAATGAACAGAAAATGCATTGTCCCTTAGAGTCTATTGGAAGGGATGTAACTATTTTATTCCTCTAGAATGACAAGATAGTAAGTCTGTCGTGTTAAGGCACTGAGTGTACTGTGGTCTGGTATGGCAGGAATAGAAAGTAACGCAAATACCACATCATCTCGTGAGTCCGAGTACTTTGGCTCCTCCGAGGTTACCAGCCTCAGTATCCCCCATGGATCCACACTATAAGAATCCGGCTCCTCGTCTGGCATCTCTACTGGACTGATGGTGTCTGCAGCCTGGCACACCTCAATTTAAACTCTCTAGACACGCTTCGCATACAGCGTTCCTGTCCCAGTAAAGGTCACCTCTGTCCTTCCGTTTGTTTCAGTGACAAAACTGCAAATCCTACTACGTCTTCGGTCAGTACACGAGGCACGTGGCTGATGCAGTGTGACCGGCATCCCTCATCTGGACCTTGGCAGTGGCCTTGCAGGCTCCTTGCTTCTCTGTTTAATTTCTTAAACTCCATCCACAGTGACCCTTTCACAAGGTGACTTGTGACTTGCATCATGTCACTCCCTTCAGTGGACAATTCTGGCAAAACATCAATCATTAAGACTGATTCACATGTGTGCGTCAATGTCCAAGGTGGACACAGAAAATATTGTAAAGTTTATGTTTTTTTCTCTTTCAAGATCTTAAAGACCAAATCCTATTGTCAGTAGATTTCTTCAAAATCCTAAAGAAAAGAACATGTTGGTGAACACAAATATATTTAAAAACTTGGCAGAAAATAGAAAGAGTTCATTTATGATTTGGAAAACTGAACAAAACAACCTTGAACATATAAAAAATTTAAAAATTCTGATCCCCAAATTTAAAGGCTCAAGCCATAAATGGGCATCTGAGGTAAACACACACTTCTCTGATGAAGAAGTAGAAACAGCAAATAAATACATGAAAAATATTCAACATCACTGGTCATTTGAGAGAGGCAAATTAAAACAATGCTGAGATTCCATCTCCAGGAACAATGGCTGCTCTCAAGAAATCAACCAATAACAGATGCTGGTGGGTTTGTGGGGGAAAATGAACCTTCTCCACTCTTGGTGGGAGTGCAGACTGGTGCATCCACTGTGGAAATCAGTATGGAGATACCTCAAAGAACTAGGATTAGAGGCCCCATTTGATCCAGCTATCCTGCTTCTTGGTAACTTCCCAAAAGAATTAAAAGCATTGTACCATAGCAATATATGCGCAAACATATTTATACCAGCATAATTTGTAATAGCTAAATCTTGAAAATAACCCAAACACCAATCAACCAATGAATGGATAAAAAAGATGTAGTTTTCTTTATATAATGGGTTACTACTCAGCCATAAAGAAGGACAAACCTGAAACTTTTCTATGTATATGGATGATCCTAGAGGCCATACTCTTAAGTGAAATAAATCGGACACATGTGTGTAAATATTGCATTGTTGCTCTGGTGTGAGAAACTGAAAGTATAAATAAGGACAAAATATATAACAGATATATTGTGAGAGAAGAAATTGTTCAAAATTATACTAAATGTGACATGCTTTATTAATAATTCAGGTGTCTTATACAAAAAAATGGGATAGTATTTTTGGACATGAGTTGAGCGATAGATTACCAACTGAAAATATACTCTTTTAAGATCATGATTCACAGTGTATTTACCACTATTATTTTCTAGTTATTTTTGTTATGAAAATTATTTTTCCACAGACTATTTATATTTTCTTTATTAATAGCTACTTGTATTACATTAAATTTTTTTAAAAAGGAAATGAATTCTCCTTTATTTGTTTGGGTTTTTTTTGAGACAGGATCTCACTATGTAGTTGAGACTGACCTGGAACTCACTATATAGCCCAGGCTGGTCTCGAACTCACAGCGATCTTCCTGCCTCAGCCTCCTGAGTGCTGGGATTACAGGGATGAGCCACCGTGCCCGGCTATGAATTCTCCTTTAATCATGCAGGCTGCCTGGGCACCTCTCCCTTCCCTTTTTCTGGTGAAGTCCATCCCCACGTTTGCAGTCCGCACGAGGACGGAAGGACTTTCATCAGCTTTGTCGCGTCCCTGTCCCTGGTGGGTCACACACAGGGCTGGGTGGAGGGGCCTCTGGGTGACCAGGTTGCAGGGCTGCCTGATGGCCCTGGGGAAAGCACGACCTTAGGGCTGGGAACCACTTCACCAAGTGACCGTGACTCCGACTACTTAGAGAAAGATGGGGACAGGCGGGAAAAGCTAAGGGCCTCAGTGGGGTTTCTGGCAAACTGTGATTAGAAAGACTTGAAACCTTTGCTGGAGAGAGCAGTTCAGAGAAGCAGAACTGAGAAGCAGCCTGGCCCCACTTGGTGCCAGGGCCCCCGCTCTCTCGTCCTCTCTCTCCACCTTCAGTGAAGTACGCAGGAGGCTGAGTGGGGAGGAGGCTGTATTATAGAAAGGTCACTTAGTGTGCAAAATGCATACGCAGACGTATAGATACGAATACCTATGTTCATCCTCTTACCACTCTCTTACCAAATGTACATGCAGTCTTAGTGACTGCTGACTTGGCCTTGTATGTAAGGCCCGTCCTCAGTTTTAGAGATGGCACCTTGGCAGGATAAGGAAGGGCTAATGAGCTTCCCCAGTAGGCAGTGGAGCGGGTCAGTGGCCAAGTCCGGGGTCAGAGCCAGAAGTAGCGGATGGAGTTGTAACAAATTCGGGGGGGGGGGTCTTTTCTTGGTCTGTAGTAACAGGGGCCAAGAACAAAGACGCCCCAGCCCTGGCTCCAGGCTCCCTGCCTCACTCCAGCAAGGTGGCTGTGTACCTTCTCGTTTCTCACCTCTTTCCAATAAAGTGATTCTGTTTCTCCTTTCAAAATTAAAAGAAGTTGCTACCGAAACCCACATATGCAAGAGGGGACACAGGCGGTTTCTCAGCTCTCTCCCTCACCTCGGCCTGCTCAGCACAGCTAGGTTAGCGCCCGGTGGACCTCGGCGTATCTGTCAGGTCTTTCACAAGCCGTGAAGCACACAGAGGACCTAATGAGACTTCCGGGAATGGAACTTCCGGGAGCAGCACTTGGGAAACATTTTCTAACTCCTGGCTTGACGCCCTTGAGCTTCTTGGCCACAGTGAAGACGTAAAAGTTAAGGTTGGAGAGAAAGGCAAGAGGATGTCTTTGGAGTGAGTTGGGCTGCGCGTCTTCTGCTCACCCCATGGGCTCCTGCCACAGACCCCCAGAAGGGGGAAGCCCTCAGAGAGTCGTTTAGAGAGGTTTCATCGCACCTGAGCATGGAGAGGAGAGATGCCGAGCCCACCCCTGTGACACTCAAACGGGAGGTGCTGCTGAACCAGGCTGGAACAGAGCGGGGCTGCCAGTGCGAAGGAAGTGGCTTCAGCGCTGATGGGTTAATGGTATGGTTTTTGTTAAGTGGCAGCAGCGCCTTAAAAGAGTTTTGCTCACTGATCCCGAGAGGGGAACAGAGAGAGTCTGTTGGAAATGAATCAGTCAACAGTGTTGTCCTGAGAAGAGGTGGGTGTGAGGTCCCAGCATGGACAGGTAGGGTGACCCGAGAAATGCCCTGGGGGAAAGAGTCAGCCAGACCCTGCCAAGCCCAGAACTAGCTGCTCGATGACCACAGCAGGACTAGTCAAGAACAGACTTTGCTGTCTCCTCCGCCTTCATCCTCCACTGCTCTGCTCGCTCCTTGTCCTTGGGGAGCTGGGGAGGGAGTTCCCTTTGTGTTGCTTTTCTCTGTAATCTTTATGCATCTTTGGAGGGGATTTTGTGTTGGCCTTTGTGTTTCTC